GAGAAATCAATAAGAACTTGAAGAATTTGTCTGGATCTTACACCAAGTAAGCACCCCTGACACACGTATACCATCCAATGTTAATGATTCTTTCATTTTCTGGCCTTGATTCTCAAAATCACTTCTTGGAAATTACATGTCTACCCTATGCAACTGATTACTGCCATAATGTATAGAAAGCAGACAGCTAGGAATCAATTAACAAAGCTGGATGTGTAATATACAGATAAATGTTTGTACATCTACTTCCATTATGGAAAGCGAACACCCAAAACACATTGCACAGTTGTGTCATGTATTTTACCCACCAATGCACAGAGACACTTCTGAAACCCAGCCCACCAAAGGTGGGTACAAATTCCTATTTTTTAGATCAGTTCCCATTTACACTCAGAACCTGTAGAGAGGGGAAGAGAGAGAGAAGTAGAGAGAGAAACAGAGGGACCCAGCAGGTTTCCTGTAAACGCTATCAAGGAATAAAAACAGGAGGAAGAGTGGAAATACAGAAAAGGAAAAATGCGTTAGGAAAATTAGAAAAAGAACAGCCTTCCTAAGAACTCCTGGGAGAAGAGGAGAATTTACCAAACTTTCCTGTAGGCAGCAAATGGCATTGACTCCAAACTGAAATGCTTACAACTACCATTCACTTCAGATTTCCTTTCATTTTGCTGCCAGATGGTAAGAGCAGCACTTAAACACATAAGCTTCAACAACAGTTGCTCTCTTTTCTACAAGAGTTTAAATAGGAGACTAACTTCTCTGCATCCAGCTGGAAAATTCTCCCTCATTTCCTCCGAAATTTCTCTTTTCTAACAGAACTAACTGGGTGAAAGTAGTATCGAGTCTTTTAGACCTTAAAAAAATACATTCTGTGGAGCAGAGAGTCATTTAGTCTTTAGAGGATAAGATGTTTGACTAGGCACAGAAAAAAAAAAGAAATTTACGTACAGAAAAAACTAGAACCACTTCTGCTTTCTTAAAAAGAAAAATAAAACTATATAAAATTGATTCAAATTCCCATATCCAGGTTTTTCTGAACCTTGCTCAGTCACAGTCCCAGGGAAGTCAATCCAAAGTAATTGTATAGAAAGATGCAAGGCACTGCATACTGGCAAGTCTATTGAATCAGCCACTTCCACTGAATTTCAAAACACAGAAAGCTTTCCATACTTTCCAAAAGCAGAAGGGCTAAGCAGCCTTTTTCTTCTCATGTCAACCCACTCAATGGTTCAGTTTTCTGGAACACAATAAAATAAAAAGTTATATGTGCTCATAAGCTTCAGTTTTTGCTTTAACATCTGAGGGCCAAATGCCAGAAATACCATAGAAAATCTAGATCCTGCAAAAGGTGCTGAGAAGAGGCTTGTGTTTTGCGAGGACTTCTCACTGCAGTGAAGAAACTGAGGACTGTACAGGCCAAATTCCAGATAATGCAACACAACAGATTTGAGAGGTCTGACATTACAGCGAATGAGGGCATGCATGATTTCCATCACAGTAAGTAAGTGCTGCTTTGTAAGTATCTTCCTGCAAAAGTTATGAGGTAAAACAGATATATGAAGTTTGTGTTTCACAGACAGCCTTCTGTGTCTGCTTGGTATCAGTTGGGGGATAGTAGAGCGATGAGTTAATATTCTGAGTTTAGGTGGAACACATTCAGGGCTCATTAAGTTTCCAGTCATTCCTAAACAGCAACAGGTGCTTGAGAAACGTTTCTCCAGTATGTCATGGACAGCCTCTACACTGTCTTGGAAATAACTGACTGCACTTGTGTTTCCTCCATGGCACCAACTGACAAAGGAGGAGAGAACAAAAAGGAACAGGAAGAACTCCCAAAACATCTGCACGTGCCTAGTGGATGGGTCTAGAAAAGTAAGTAATGGAAGACCTTCCTGTACAGCCTGAATTCAGATGTGATTACTTGCATGTCTGTCCAATGTTGCCACTCATTCAGACTGCAGTATCACATTCAGCCAAGTCCTAACAGGTTCCCAGAAATCTTGATCAATTAATTGAAATGGCATTGTAAGAAGCTGAAAGTTTCTCAGTGATTAGTGTTCATTAATCCTTTATGTATGTTGAAGCAGAGAGACTGAATGTCTTGGGAAGCTTGTTCAACCATGGGAAGAAAGATGAGTTGTAGCTGGAGAGCCTGCCTGGCACAGCATTTGTGTTAGCACAGGTTGATTTAGCTTTTGTGAATAGTGCTGTGCATGTGCAGTTACCTAAAACATTTCATAATACAGCCTGCCACTGTAGAGAAACATGCACAAGGAAGCAATTTTAAGTTCAACTAACAGATTTAAGGAAAACAGGACTTAATATTTAACATTTAAGAACTACATCCAGGAATTTTCAATGTGTAGAATAAATCTGTATCTTGATCTTTTCCTTACCTCTCACAAAGTCTGGAAAAAGCCTGAAAAATCTCTGCCAACAACTACTGGGCTGGCACAAAAATGCATGAGAAAGGTACAATCTGTTAGGAAAAATTATCCTTATGGAAACTTAAATTTTGTAACAAGTTCTTAGATGTTGCAATGACATTGTGAGAGGTTTCTGCTAGGCCTTTGATGTTATACGACTACTGCATATCACCATTAAAATAGAGTAGCAAAGACATATCTTGGAGAGTTTTATAAAGTCCACATGGGAACAGAACTCAAAATCCCAGAAAAATATTGTAACAAACAACAAGAATCACTTTGGATGGAAGGAAAAAAAAAAAGAAAAAAGAAGTCATTGCTCCAAGTAAGACTCCTCTTGGTTTTGTACAAGATGACAGGACCAACTGAGTCCAAGTCCAGACCTGCTCGAAGTAAGACTCCTCTTGGTTTTGTACAAGATGACAGGACCAACTGAGTCCAAGTCCAGACAACCGAGTTTCCTCCACGATCAAGTTTCTCATCCTGTCACTGCTATTTCAAAGTAGCTTTTGATCAACACCAGACCACTGGAAATTTGTTTCTCCGTGAGATAACAATGATGTTGTTTTTGGAAATCAATGTAATGATCTTACCATGGTGGAACATAAATCTTTGCTAAAAAGGAGGCTGAGAGAAGGGGGGAAACTCCTACTTCACCTTTGCTGATGAGTGCCCATATTCCTAACTCCAGCCACTCTCTGGTTTCTGCTACCACTTCTCATGCCACAGACACAGTCTCGGTGACTCAGAAGTATCTAGAGTTTTTTACTACAGACTGCTTAATAAAACAGAGCTTACAAATAGCTTGAAATGAACAGCAACCATCCTGCAAGTCTGATGTGACAAGATATGTTTTGCTCTGTCCTGCGCACATTCTGCTTCCTTGTCATCATCCAGGTGGCAGGGCAGTGCAGAATTGTACTAGATGAAATTTCTTCACTGAAACACCACCAGTCTCCCTCTGGACTGGATTTTAAACAGGAGAAAGTATTTTCCTAAATGATTAATATTTGACCAAATTATTCCATTTTGTTCTGTAGGCAACTGCACTGTTTTTCCACTGTATCCACTGAATTTGGAAACAAATTTTCACTGGGCAAAACTCCCACACTCATTTGTTTTTCACTTCACATTTTATCTTTCAGGTGATGCTGGAAGCTGCACTTCTGAGCTGTTCTTACTGCCAACAAATAATTTTCCCATAGCAGGCACTGAGATGTAGACTTTTTTATTTACTGGCTATATGCATGGACATGTGGTCTGCATGAACATGGGAACCCCAAAGACCAGCCACAGCTCCAGTTGCTTTTGGCAGGTGTCCCTGGGATGAGTGCCTCAGGCAAGTGCCCCACTGACCTCCATCTGAGCTACCTCTCTGCTCACTGTTAAAGTAAACAGAATAGGGATTGCTGCCAAAGGCCCTAATAAAAACAGTTTAATCACACAAGACTTCTCCTCCATGATCTTCACTACTCAGTACAGAGTTTATTCTTGCAGAAAATGAACGACCTCCACAGGAACTATATTTTAAGCTGTTACAACACACAAAATTTAATACGCACATTCAATTTTCCCCCATAATTCACTAGTAACACAGAAGGGACATTATGCTTCAATACTGTGGCAATTCACAGGTCCCTTGAGAAAGTCACTGCAAATGTTACATTCCATGAGATAAATCCTGAATTCTACCACAATGGACAAGAGTTTGGTCTCTGACTTATCCTCCTCATTATGGGGGAAATCCTATAAACTTTCTCCTTGAGACATACACAGGCCCATGCTGGAATGCAAAGAGAAAGTTTCCAAGGGATTTTGTTTTCTCAAAGGACAGTCTTTGACACAAAGGAAAAGTGGCCATTCTGACTGCACTGACTCAGGATACGTGAATCTGCTCACTCTGTGCAGAATTACACAGTTACAGCTCAAACTGTGCACGTGTCTGCAGATCCTGATGCAACCACTTATGCTAGAACTAAATCAAGTATGTGTCCTTTGTATCAACTTACCTAAAGATTCCAGACAAACTGGAAGCCAGGGACTCAACCAGGTATTGTGTCAGGGACTGTAGCTAATGCTGAACAGAATAGTATTAAAACATTTTGACTTGTCAGTGGAAATCACTGCTGTTTAATGGGGCACAGAGTACTTTTGTCAACAGAGCCATGTCTGCACCGCCTGTGTATAATTAATGCAGCTCTCAGGCTGCAGGATTGGTTAATTCAGTAGAATATTGCTACTGGAAAGCACACATAGAAGTGGAAACCAAGTAAAACTTTGATGACAAGACTTATCCATTAAAGAAAAAAAATAAAAAACCTCTACTATTTTTGTTTTTTACAAGAAATAACTAGAATGTTCTGCCTCACATTTTAATTAAGATATACTGTTTGCCTACTCACAGACACTTAACCAATTTTCCACATAAGAACTTGCTGTAACAAACCCCAGTTTAATACCAGAGACACAGAAAAGGACATAACACAATACAGTAAGTCCATTTGAGCCACATTCTTGCATTTCCCCCCTCTTTGTGGTATTTCCCCCCAGTACAACAGGTACTGCAGTATTTACCTTTATTCCAGGGAGTCCAGGAAGCCCAGGAAGGCCTGGTTCACCCTACATAGGAAAATTACATAACATTACAGACATTATCCAGTTAGGGTCACTATCCCTGAACAGCCCTGTAAATTCTGCAGGAAGATAAAAGAGCATGAATGATTGCTAGTCAGCTCCAGCAAGATTGGTTTTTTCAAAATGAGTGACTTAAATGTACAATTAGTAAGAGTCATGTTAAGAACTTAGATATCTTCTGGGAACCTTCAATGTGAAGATGACACACAGGGCTGAAAGTCCATGTCAGGAAAGCCAAATATGAATTCATGTTAGACTTCAGCAAAAGAGAAGAAAACAAGTAGCACTGGTTCATTTTACTGCAGTTGAAGTTCCATGCTTATGACAGATGTTTAATTCTGTTCCATTTTCAACTCTGAGCTAGATACTGTGCTGTGTGACTCTGATTTAGCTACAAAGCAATTCAGAAGAGCTTGGTTTAAATTGCACAATTCGAGCAGGACTGCCTAATTATAACTGGGCCATCAGTTTTATAGTGCTATCCACAGCATCATTTCAGAGCTTGTTCTTTATCTGTGAACATACACAGTGTCATGAAGGATAGTGGGAATGTAACCTTTTACTGCTCTACCCAGAAAAACCTTGCTTATTTAAAATTGCAATGGAAAGACCTATAGAACTTTATTTGCAAGGTAATTTTGTAACATTGAAAACTGAATGCATTAATTTTGGAAATAGTCTAAGACAAGAATGACAACATTGTCACAAATGGTCATTTTGAGATATCAGCTAAATGGAAAGACGTTGTCTAGGGAAATAAAGATGATGAACAGAAAAAAAAAAAAACCAATAACATGTGAACAAAACATTATAATAAAGGCTGGGGATTTTATTTTAACACAGAGATGGATTCTAACCAGCACCTTGGATCTGAATATCTGCACCTTGGATCTGAATATTCCCTGAACTTTCTGGAAGCTCAGGTTTGAACTCTGAAGCCAACTTTTACCTTTATAATGAACTGAACTGTATTCCAGATTTTTTTACACTCATGAGCTTTACAGAAATCCAGACTTCAACTCTGTGGCTTGGGCCGATACCTACAGGTTGTGCTATTAAAATATTTTATTTGCCTGTGTACACACACGCTTACACACATCCATACACCCACGTATATTCATGTATACACACACAAACACAAACACACCTACACATAACACAGGTGTACATCAAACTGCATGCCCAGAGACACTTCTTTGAGGCAGAGATATTACATGGACTTGAAACACTCATAACAAAATTACATTCTGCCACAAAATGAAAAACACAATAGAGGGGCTGCAAATCACTTCACCAAATGGAATGATTTTTAAGTGGTATAGAAGGATCTGATAAAAGCTTCCTCATCTGTTTTAGTTTCTCCAAAGTTCTAACTGTTCAAATTGCCTAAAAGCACAGGAAAGATTCCAGTCTCCAAATATTAACTATAAAATCAGATGAAAGAATAGAGGCTAGGATGCCATTTTCAACAGACACTCTTTGGTATGTTGGCTACCACTTTCTAAAGCAGAAAATGGCTTACTACTCTTGCAAAAGGACAATGCTCCACTGCACTAACTCCCTACCTTTTGCCTGAGCAGCCATACATACAGCACCATCAACTTTACCCACCTAATTGTGGAAGCACTAAATTTCACCTGCAAGCACAGAACTGAAACATTTATAATTGATATTATATTAGTGTTGCTGCAGTAGGTTACTCTTTAGACTTGGGACAGAGCTAACCCCCATACATTCACACATCATAAACAGAAAAGATCCACCAAAGCCAGTTCAGAGTCACAGTAATCTAAAACAATTAAAATGCCCCTAAAAGATCCACCAATATGAAACACAATGAAATCAATCATTATTTCTTAATTACAGCTAGCATTATAGATGAATGCAGAGCATTTACTTTTTTGGACCTTTCCTAATATAAAAATTCTGAGTATGATTTATGAGAAGAATGACTTTTAAAGAAACCAAGGCTGTATACTAACTCTATTACATAATGGAGGAGCAGGTCATTCTGTCACCTCAGCACACAATGTGGCCTACAACAGCCTTGTTAGACTGCTGAAATATTGTCACGTTTCATGTCATGCAAACAGTGTTTGGGTGGGCAGCTCAACACATATTTGTCCTTAGAAGATGGATAAGGGACAACTAGAAGATAAAAGGGGAAATACAAGAAAGAAAAGAAGACACAGGAAGGAAATATGAATGTAACACAGATAGGGAGAAAAGCATTGAGATGATGCAGATGGCAGAGATGTGCCTCCAACTGGAAAAAGAGCAACATGGTGGCGTGAAAAAGCCCCTGCTGAGCAGGGGTGCAGGGCAGCAGACATGGGACACCTGGCTGGAAGAGGCACACTGACCAGGCATGTCATGGGAGCCAATGGTTGGGGCTGGGACAGGAGTTGTGACACACTAGGAAATCATGAGGTTGGTGGAAGGAAGACACTAAGCCCCTCTCTGGTGTCAGAAAGAAAGTGAGAATATAGAAATTTGAACTGCAAACCTCTCACACATCCATGTTGCTTGAATTAGATCAAATCTGAGTGCCTGAGACTGAGAACCACGAGCTTGCTGATAAATCACTGCTAGTTTTGCCTCCATGGCAGCCACTTAATGAGAGTCTGAATCTCCACAGGCGCTTAAGTGCATTTTCTAGTTTATTAGCCAAGCAAAGCATACACTGCAGAATGCACACACTGAATGATTCTGTGGATTAGATAGCTTTAACTACTTTGATTACCTTTCCTAATTAAAACTGCACTTTACTAAGGAAACTGCATTTGCTACCATTTAGTCTCTGATGAGAGTTATAATTTCTTAAATAAAAATACTTAATGTCTTATTTATTTCTTATTTATATGTGGTTTGGGGTTTTACTTAGTCACCAAAGTATCATGAGTATTAGAAAATGGTTGTCCTGCCATACACTGTATAGAATTTTAGCTCTTGACTGTCTGTCTGGAATATCTAAACTGGCAGAAGGATTCTGTTCAACTCTGGCAGCAGTGTGCAGTGGAAAATTTTCTATGTTATAAGAGGGAAGAAGAGTGCCAATGACTCCTGAGGGAAAACAAATATTGCAATGCACAAATCCAGCTCTCTCACTGTCTCTTTGCTCTCCCTGCAGGACCTGCCCCCTACTCTCAGGAAAGGCAGCTGAAGGCACAGCATTTGCTGTGTTTGATGTACTGTGCATTCAAAGAGCACATTCCCCAGCCTCACAGGGCCTCGTGCAGTACAGTCATTGTAACTCCTGCAGGAACTTTCCTTGCAGAAGCAGCCTCAGCCACACAGCACCAGGGAGCATTTCTTTCACTGGAAGGAAGAACACAGCAGCATTACCTGGTCTGTGTCCTTCCAAACACACTGTGTGCCACAGAGGGTTTGATTCCCCTCACAGGTGTATGTGAAACCTATATTTATGTTCTTCCTAATGAGATCTAATGGTGGACCACAGTTTGAAGATTAATAGTCAAACATGCAGGGTTAGCTTGTGATGACCCAAGGAGCAGAGCCATTCTTTGTTAGTCTTACCAGCTGCAACAGGGTCAGGGTAAGCTTTCAATGCAAGAAGTATGCTGGGGCTAGAAGGGAAGGTGGGTTAGTCAAAATTGCTCTTCATGTTAATTAGTATCGTTATTCCTGTGCCTTTCTAAAATACAAAATAAACACAGATCAAATGTGCACAGCCTTGGGCTGCTGAACTGTACTGCCTCGGACTCATCCCAGCGCAGGAAAGTGCCACTGGTAACACAGATGTGACATCATTTATCACAAATCCAGCAGAGAAGGAAAACTGAACATTTCCAAGCAGTACCTTTTGTCCAGGCCGCCCAGATTCACCGGGTTCACCCTAAAAGAAAACAGATGAAAGACATGAGATCTGAGACAATGTATTAAAGATGGAGCTGTGGAAAACTGTAACATTAATGATACCCAAAATGTCTGTGAGGCTGTGAAGTAACACAGTGAATGGACCAACCACCCCTCTTCTCCCTGCACAACTTCTTCAGAACTCCATTACCTTAATTCCAGCCGCAGAAGAGCCAGGGTCACCCTGATACAAAATCCACAAGAAATAATCACTCTTACTACATAAACAATTTTCCAGTAAACACATAAATCATGTAAGAGTACAGCAACATTATACAGCAAAATAACTGCATAGCAAGACTGCCTGTTTTCTGTGCTACTACATAGGCATTTAACTAATTAATTATAACAGTGTGATTCAGAAAAGGAGCAGTGTTGTTTTCAAGACCATGTAGAGAGAGATTTAGCTTCACCCACCCAAATACCTGTAATAGTTAACTTCAAATTTCACAACTAATAATGCAGATCTAATAATTGCAGTTGTTGTATAAATGTACTTCAGACTGCCAGAATATGGGACATACTTTGACATCTCTAAATTGTTGATCTACATTAAAAATTATTCACTGTTATTTACAAAGAATATGAGTGACCATTTGACCTAATTTTATAGATGGCAAGTGTCAGGACTCAACTGACAACATTTTTTGTACTAATGAAGATTAACATTGTAAAAAAAACCCTAAGAAACAGTGACCTGTGAGTTTATCCCCATCAGGACAGGTCATAGTTTTATTTCCTCAACACTCCAAGGCATTTAAATGGATAGATTAATGCATGAAGGGCTATACTTCACATGATGAGACAGCTATGGTAATTTACATATTCAGGAAAGGTCTCTGTTCTGAGAGGACATGTAGCACTCAAAAAGATTTGCCTACATTTTGCTGGGTTGACTGGATTTCATAGGCACTGATATGCACAGAACAGAGGATCAGTTGTTTTGTTTTGTTTTTCTTGAACAATATGCCAAAGAAAAAAGAAAATAAAACTACTGAAAAGCTTGCTAGTTAGGCTATATACTACTGAAGATGACTAGTGTGCTTCTATTTGAAAAATTGTTTAATTATTCATTATGCAGAATAAATATACATTGTTCACTGAAAGCAGCAAGTTTTACATGGCAGCAACTTCAAGTTCTGAGCAGCTTGCCAGTGATTTACATAGGTAGGATAGAAGCCAGTACTGTAATACACTGCAGAGATGTATAAGCAGAGTATAAACGTTTAATATTCTTTGTGTAAAATACAAACAGGGGACACCCATTCCTGATGTTTCTGTCAATGCCATAGCTTTGTAGCTGATTTGGGCATGGCATCTTTCTAGCATGGTCTTATAAAATTAAATTGTACTGGTTAACATGCCACTGGCCTCTGAAGAGTAGGAATACACAGTTACTGCAGCTTGCAGTAGAAAGAAAACACAAAAATCAGTATTATGAGATTGATACATGCAAGGAAACCTGACCTGCCTCCTTTTAATAGACATGCATGAGTGGCACTGCTGATATCCCTTACAAGCATGTACAACTGAAAGCCTCAAGAAACTTTAATAGCTATAAAGGGCCAAAGCAACTAGTAAGACACATTAAATAGTTAAGTATTTCAAAGGGCAATGATGGATATGGAGAAGATAAAACACAAAATATTTATAATCCACCTTCATGCAAGAATAAAAACGATCAAAGTAAAAATTACAGTATAGTATGTTCACAATTCACTGCTGAGTCAAGACAGTTTGCAAATGAAGAAACTTTAGTAGGGGAACATGTACAAAGAAGGAAGATCCTTGGTAGTTTCTAGGAACCAAGGCTACAGTGGAAGAACGGAAGCAAGAATTCAAGCTTGGTATTGACACTGTCTTCAACAATTCAGCAAAGACATTTTAATTCTAAAGTCTCAGGTCAAAAATTAAGGACCCAATTTTTGAGTCTCACGAGGTACAGCAGTTCAGTAAACAAAGCTACATTTTTTTTGCACAAACAGAAACCTGCTCCTAAACCAAGTCTGGATCTGTTGTCATGTGGTATCTCACTCTCCTACCACATGAATAAAAATTTATTTATCTCACAGAAACTCTACTGAAGCTTTCAAAGAAACGTTTTTAAGTTTTATGGACTATGGATTAAATCTCCTAAGCAAAAACTTCCCCCTATGCTGAAGACCAGGAAAGAATACAAACCCTACTAAGCAGCTCAAGTGTAAAGTAATGACACCAAGTTTAATGCTTACTCCTAAATTATCTGTCAAAAACCACCCTCATAAGCTCTCTAGAAAGTGCTGTTTGCAAAGCTACCTATCAGAAACTTTAAGCTACAGCTCTCCTCTAAGAACTGCATCTTTTTTTTCTGGGTGGCAGATTGTCTTGAAGGCAGGGAAAAAGAAGAAAAATATTGAAAGTCAGTGAAGTCACAGCTCTGGAAAGTCTGGCAAAAATGATTGCAGAGTACTCTAACCCATTATGGCTAAAGCAGAGCACTCCAAATGAACAGAATATATTCTCATGTCACCACCCCACCTCTGAAAATAATACAAAATTTAGAAGAGATGGAAGACTTCTGCATTATGAAGTTCAGGAGGTGTCCTGAAACTTCTTCAGATACAGCGATATAAGAAGTCTCCTGAGAACCTCTGCTTTCCACAAGTTGGTCCCAACTCGACTGCCTAACTGCTGGAAGTTCACACAGCAGTATTTAAAACTTTATACTTGAGCAGAAAGAATCTCCCACTGAAAGAAGGAGAGAACTTTTTTCTTTCCTCAAAGAAGATCCCAAACAGGGGGATGTGCACACTGCTGATCACAGGGCAATATGGGCATCCTTGTGGATGCAAACTCACCCTCAAGGCTAATGAAGCAGAAAAGCAACAGGTGAAGCTGCACTAGGCTTCCCAGAGAGATTATAACCTTATAATTTACTTGTTGTAGAACTATCTGATCAACAATCTCAATTCATACTTGTAGCCAATTATGTTCTTAAATCATGTAAGAGTGGATCAAGATTATGTTACCAGCATACATCATGTAAGTAAGTAAATAAGGTTGTTATTAATAATCATGACTGCAAATAAAGTATTATTTAAATTAACTCCAAAAATCAAGTAACTTGACTGTTCTTAAATCTAATGTCTATTTTTAATTGCTGATTTTAGAATATGCCTTAAAATCCTTGTGCTCTTCAAAGGACAGATTACTGTACCCAAATGATAGCTCCTGAGGGATTTGCATGCATTCCTTACCAGCTTGATAAATCCATCATAAATTTCTCCTTGAACTGAAATGCTGTAAGTTGGTTAAGCATTACACATGCAGGGGTACAAGAAGAAGTGCTTATGTTTCTGCCCAAGCGTAGTCATTAAAATAAATGTTTTTTAGAAGTGTATCTGTTCAAAAATGATGGCCAGAAGAGATCAATATGCCTGACCCTTTCTCATGTGCAACACAGCCTTTACCCTGACTCCTAAAGACTGGCTTCTGTAAGGAAACCACACTGAAAATTCCAGTTCGATTTTCTGGGTGTGAGCCTCACATAAAAGAAGACTCAGGAAAATAAAAATTTTGACAAAATCTATTTTTTGGTGATTTCTACAACATCTTTGTAATCTGCAACAATGAACTAAGAAGGTATAAAGGCAGGTTATTGTTGATGTCACTTGGAATAAAGATTTGAAGTCTGTTTATCGTCAGCTCTTGATTTTCCAGCTGCCAGTTTGGGAGGGAAGTTGCCTATCATGATAACATAATTTTGTCCCATATTGGTTTGGCGCCACTCTTTGATGGAAACACAGAAGGGGAAAAGATAAAGGGTATACCAGAAAATATGACTGCAATTCAAAGGGGCAGTTCCAACTGGCAGGTTGTGACCAAAGTTTCTGTATGATGCAAATTTCAACAGAGGAGTGCTAGTTAGAACCATGCTGATATATTATATACTAGGGCTACCACTGCATAAAGTAAGAAATCTTATGCTCAGTTGGACAGAAGAGTGAAAATTTTTCTGCTGTTCATAAAAATGAACCAAATCGTTCACCTTTAAAAAAAAATCTCAAAATGCATTTCTCTTTTGAAAAAATTACTATTTTCATTATTTTGTCATAGTATAAGCATGCCTAAGGCACACAATTTCTTCTCTGCTAAAAAGTGTTGTTACCTTTTCTCCTGTGTCACCCTTCAGTCCATTCTCACCAGCATCCCCCTATAATTGAAACACGCATATTTTAATGATTTTCTGTAAGCACACAGTATGCAGAGAAGAGTCAGATTTCCAACATGATTAACAATGCAAGCTGATTTTGTTCATCAGATAGTCAATCTCTGTGGCATGGTCAGAAAGTGGCTATGTCTTACACAGACTTCACTACAACTGCAATCCTTTTCACAGATCTGTAAAAAACCCCACCACAAAGCATCAAAATACCTGCTGACATAATCTACCATCTTTCTCAGTTCACTGCAGTTTAGCAAGGAAGCAATGATTTAATGATTTTATGATGATTCAGCACTTTAAATTACAAATACATTTTTCTTCCTAACACATACACATTCACCCAGATGCATCTAAAAAAATCAGATGACAGTTAGACAATCCCAATAGTTTTTATTGAGATTCTCAAGTAATTTATTGCACACACTCTCTGAGTCTGAAGTCCTTCATGAATGATTCACAAACTAAAAAAATTCACTAAATGTCACTCCTCCAAGGAGCTACCAAATGACTTTATCTCTACATAAATTATATGCACTGTTTTTGTTAAAAAAGTGATATTCAGATAATACCTTTTCATGGCTGAGTAGATATTTTCTATTAAAAAAATGCCCAAAATTTTAAAATAAAAATTTTACAGTATTTATCTATAAAAAACCCTATTTTCCACCTAGTCATGTAACCATATAAGAAGTCGAGACTATATCATATGTTTTTTAATGTTAAGAATACAGGCTAAAAATTTCTGTGGGAGTTGAGGTTCATGTAAAGTGCAATAAGTATTTAAAATGCCAAAAATATAGATAAAACTAGAGCTTAAGTAGACTAAAACAGAGCCTAAGTAGACTCCTGGCCTTGGTCTGATAACCAGTAGTATTGCTCAAATAACATTTTTCAGTATCTGTCATATTGTTCTGAAAACCTTAATGTGAAATCCTTCTGGAGAGGATTCAGCAATTTATACATCACAGCCACTGATACAGTGGGCACCAGCTAACAACCTAGCAGCACTGTAATTAAGGAAACATCCAAGAAACATGGAAGAATAACAGTGAGGAATGTTACTCAAGTTCAATTAACATGATAAACTTATTGGGGGCATCTGTAACCACACTTTTTAGAAAAAGACAAAAGATAATTATGGAAAAAATAGAATGGTTTTAAGTGACAAAAATTCACTACATATTAAAATTCATTGTTATTCCTTTTATGTCTGAAAACAAACTAAGGATTACTGAAGTGCTTTAAAAATATCATTTTAACAGAATATATTTCATTACGCATATTTCATGATTACATAGTTCTGCATGTGGGGTACAAACTTTCAAAATTTCCCTATATTATTTTTATGGTGTACTTTTGAAAATGTGTAATTAATTGCCTTGGCAAAGTATGCTTCCAGCTGCTATTACACAGATTTATATGGAACTGGAAGTGAAGTGCAGTTGTAGCTGCAAAGACACAGGTAAACATTTCTCAAGAGAAAACTGCACCTCAGTACAAACAAATTATTTTTTAAACATAAGCTCAGTATACTTGCAGAAGATGAGGCTTTGTATGGATTCCTACTCAAAATAAGGCTTATGCTATTTCTCAAGGTGAGGAAGCTCAGCTCTAATCTCACTGTGCTCCTACCAACCACCATGCCTGGAAGAGCAGAATTATACTTCCTTTCTGCAGCATGGAGTTTGTTCCACCCCCTTGTCTTGCCCTGGTAGGACTGGACATCAGAGAAGCAATTTCTTGCGAACTCACTGCAAGTAAGAGCCCCATCAGTGTGCCTCTCCAGACAGCATCACTGGAGACCAGGGGGGGAGACTCCCTTGCTCCTACTTAAGCTGACCCAAACACAAATGGAGCATTCCACTTTTATTTTTTATTACATTTTTTTAAATTCCATTTTCATTTTTAGTACATGGAGAGCTTGTTATTACTTAGAATCTATGTAGTTTTACCATTCTGTTACCTAATTGTTTTATTCCACACAGGTGTCAGAACCTCAAAACCAAGGTATGAGAAATGTGAGGATCTCTAATTTATTCAGAGAGGCTCATCATTTTCTGAGGCTCACCACAGTTAGGATTAGTTGCCTGATTGCTCATCTGTGCAGCCTTTAACACAAAATCACTGCACCCTGTGACTAATCCCACTGCAGTAATCACAGATCAATAACTTCCATTAGCAGGTATTATCTGACCCTTGGAAAGGCTGCACTGTGCCACTAGGTAGGAGCTGTGGTTTTTTATTTTTAAACTTGGGATGAGTGCACTCCAAGCAAGTTACCCAAAACAGAAACACAACAAAGGAAGTGAAACATCTCACCTTTTCTCCTCTTTCTCCAGGGTCACCCTAAGGAAAACAATTGGAGCAAAGAAGTGGTAAGTTATTAAATCAGGCAAAAACAAAAGTGTTAGCCTTTCTATCATTAGTTATTACTAATGTTAGTATTACCATCCTTACTAATAATCATGTCACTACTGATGACAACATCTCAGATGACACAATACAACAAGAAAATCTCCAATGAACAATAAAATAAGTAAATTTAATAGATCTCAATAGACAATACAAGTTCAATATTTTTTTTTAAAAGCATCAGTGGTTTGCATTGAAGACCTCTCTCTCTACTTTGTCCTAGATCCTGACAAACAGGCATATGTCTTTGAGAAGCAGCCTGCAGGGACCTAGGCAGCTCCTACATGTGGTTCACCTTGTTTTGGGAACAAACAAAAGAAACAAAAAGTCTGGATGTCTTATGATTCTGTCAACAGTTCAGAAGGTTCCTCAAGAGAGAGAAAATGCCTTAAGTGTCTTGAACAAATTCATAACTGTTCCAGAGTAAAGAGCCTCCAGTGCTATTTATATTCTCTGTAACCATCTCTGTAACAAAAAGATGGCTTATAGCCATTATTTTTTTCAAAATTAAAACGTGCTTGAGAAACTGCAAAAGCACTTTTGCACACCAGCCTGACCCTGACAACTCATCTTCTCTGCATTTCTGGCTCAGAGCTGCACTCTGGCTCATATTTGTCCCTTTTGATGGCTGGCAGTCGCTAGGCAACTCGGGGACTACAGCTGTGAATACGAATTAAGCATCAACTGCCATAATTTGGCTTATTCTGTATACAAAGTAAGAAAAGGTCATGCTCCCACATGGTTTGTTTTCATTCCTGATGGACAAGCAGTCAGTCAGTAAATGTAAAGAGGCTGCCTTGCATGTCTGTCAGCAGCAGCATGATGCACAGGATCAGCTGAGGAGCACATGTGCACCAGAGATCCCATCACTCACAGCTGATGGGATTAGAAATTAGCATTACCCCCTCCAAGAGGTCCACAGATCCCATCATCTTGGACATGTCGAGTTTTCTTTTAAATGAAGTTATCATCATAAGCTTTACGTTCTATTTCACTTGTTCAATATTAAAACAGCAGAACAAACTACAGAACAATAAAGTGCAAAGAGTCATTCTGATGTAACAAATACAGGCTGAGACATGCTCCTAATGAGGCTTGTTGCTAACTTCCATAATAGCAGGATCAGCCCTCAAGACTTCACCCTGACATTTGTCAAAGAACTGACCGCAGCAGTTCTTGAAAAGAAGCCTGAAACACATTGTAAGTGGCATAAACAAAGCCTTTCTGAAAAGGTCCCCAAATTCCCAAACACTTGCAGGCATATTGCATTCAGCTGCCAGTGGAGGCCTATGAATCAGTGCCACTGACTGTAATTATACATGCACAGCAGAAGAAAATGCTTCTTTATGGTGAGATGTGCAAAGCCTCTTACAGCACTGATCACTGGAGGGAGCAGATCATTAAAAGCCAGTCAGAATATGAACTACAAACCCAAACTGGAAAGCACAACTGTCATCTACACATGCCCTCACATACTCTGTGCTTCTGTTTTTAATTAATTTTCAATACTGACCTTAAGCCCTGCTTCTCCCTTCTCTCCTGCTATGCCAGGCAAACCAGGTTCACCCTAAAGGCAAAGAAAAAGAAAAATGAAGTTAAGAAAGACATGATGAAATACATGAACCTTCTCATAATGGGTCAGTAATGATAAACACAATTTTAAAAGACTGCAAAGATGTAGTACACAGCTGGGCACTAAAATGACTTATTTTGTCAGTTAGGGTGGATTAACTCTAACCCATGTAAGGTAAGAAATTATTCTTCTGAAACAGGTGGAAACACACAGATGTCACAATAAACAGAGAGGAGACCTATGACTCCTGATTCTTAAAATCTGTCCAATGAGCCTTAAAAGCACAGTCTTCCCAGCAAGACTGCCAATGCTTTCCTCTTCTCTACAACTTAGAAATGCTGCAAGAAAGGCTTGTCTTAATTTATTTTGACATTTGCGCTTCTGGTCTCAGACGGAAGACAGATAATGAAAAAAATGAGAAGGGCCTGTTTCAGAAATGGAAGAATTTGGAAAAAGAGAGAACTTTTCAATTTTTAAAATATACTTTGCTTATCCATTTTTTATACCAGTGGTTGAAAAGTGGTTTTAAAATATTTAAAAACTGTCAGTATTACATCAATGCTCCAAATTTTGGGTACGCTCAGTGGGTAGTATATTACTCTTCTACAGTTTAAGGAGTCATAAATTATTTTCATGAGTCAATCAGCAAATAACACTTATTTTCAATCTTATTTTCAATCTTCTTCCCTATCTTCAGTTTTAAAAATAAAGAAGCAAACAAGAAAAAAAAAAACAAGTCAAACAAAAACAAAACACTCTAAAAGATATTTTTTAGTGTTTATATCCCACATTTATGGGAAAATGACAGATAATCATTTTAGATAAAATAATGTAATGGTTAGACTTTATCGTAAAACAACTAGAGCTTATGGCTTATTATTTAAAAGCCTCTGCAGATGTATATCTCAGTTTCACAAGAAATACCTTTGATAACCCTCACATACAGAACTGCATCACACTTCCAACCTGGCAAAACGCATTAAAATAACAGCCAAAGAAAGATTTTTAAAAGTCCGCAGTTAGGTCCTTCTAAAAGCCTTTGCTATTTAAGTGTAGAAAAACGTGGAAAAGTTAAATCCAATAGCTAACATAGCAATCAAATTTGGAACAGTAGTTTGTATCAGAAACTCAGTGAACAATTTTCACACAGTGTTCAAATTTAGCACACATGATGAACCAATCCTCTACTCAGAAGTTACAGAGGCATTAAGATAAAGGCTCTTCCAAACACAAGACATATTTTCTAGTCCTCCATAAAAGTCTCCTATTAGGAACTTATCTCTTTCTTACTTCTGCAGGCAGATTTAATCATAGATGTATTAACATCTATGATTATGTATCTGATTATCCATGAAAGCAAGTTCCATTGTACTTCTAAATTAGGTAATGGAATCATTAATTACATTTCCATTTCCTCAAGAGTTTCAAAAAACAAACCAAAATCATCGAAGTTCTAGCAAAACTCTAAGTGAGGAATTTTCCAAGCCAGAGCAAAAAATGTTAGGTACCATTAAGCCTTCAGGGAATGAAACAGTCACTTGTGTCAGCCCCTTCTCAAGGCCCCTTTGTACTACAGTAGCTGTGAGGCTGATAAAGTGGCACAGGCATTTGATATATGAGTGCTCAGGATTTGAAGCTGTTGGAGATTAGGTGTGAGTGTCCTAAAGGATTGACCTAAAAGGCTCTTGAGGAAAATTGCCAGTTGACAAAATGAAGCAGAAGGGACTCATGAATATACACTTGTTTCTCCTCATCCCCACACCCCAAACACGCTTGCTTCTGTCCCCTTCATTTTCAAACAGCTGCTGTCAGCTGATGCTTTCTGGGGCTTAAATCTCTAATCAAAAGGTTGAAGTTCCAGGCTTGCACTTTCCTCCAAGGTTCACATATCAGTGCTATGGATGCAGAGGCTACTGCTGTGACAAAAAGGAGACCACAAAAATAGAACCAAAAAAAATATTTTCTTTGGAAAAAAGTGAAAACCTCAGCCTGTCACCTAGCCATAGTAAATCCCCATTCATACCAGCAATTGCATTTCCGACCTATATGCAACTTTGCTATGCTCAGCACTTCACTTACAGTACTGAAAGTACTACGCAGAGATACTTGAAGCACAGAAACTAGCTCTGGGAATAGGAAAGACTGAAGGCAAACCTAGAAGGATAACACAGAAAAGACCTTGTGCCTTTATGTTTTTGTAGTGATTGTCTTCTGTTGCTAATGTTCAGAAGAACAGGGAAAATATTCCTTTCCCTATGTTAGACCTTTATTTTCTTGTCTATACAAAGAATCAGTGAAAAGAAGTAAAAATGTACAGCCCATAAGATGTTTTATGTCTTAGCCCTGATGAACATTCCCAGTGCACAGCTAAACAAGCTTTGTGCCAGGGAGCCTCCCTTTGTCACTCTGCATGTCTTGCAGGCATGGCAGCCTGGCTTTCTGTGCAGATATTTTTACAATTCCAGTAAGCCTTAACATAAAGCCCCCAAAATAAACAAGAAAACCAAACGACAAAACAAAAATAAAAATGGTCCGCTCAAAGTAGTCATGAAGCAAAGAGCTGGTAACTTTTGAAGAAGAGTAGATTGATAGCTCTTCCCTACTCAAACACTGTGTTATTTTAGCCATGTTGGTCCCAAAAAATGATTTTGATTCTTGGCATGAAAATAATTTAAAATATTTCTGTTAGGAAGCATGTTAGGAAGTTTAGCTACTTTTATTAATTTATCTATTTATTGCTAAAAGCATGTATTAAAACCAGAGTACAAAATGCTGTAAGAGTAAAGCTGGAGTGTAAAATGCAGTATAAGTACACTTCAGCCCCACAGGTTAGTTCTTTGGAGATGAATAAAAAGCACAGCTGACCTTTAAGAGGCTGAAGATGATGACCCTGCTATTCAAGGAGTGATGCATGCAAGGGAACACCAGATACTCAACAATGTCATTCAACGCAACAATTTAAATCACACTGCTTTTCAACCTGATAAAATGAAAAAACTATAAAGCTAAATCCTCAATGTCACATGGTTTTTACATTCACCAGGCCATGGCTAATGTCATTCCTGACTGCTGTTGTAGTCTGTCTTTAATAGCATTGACAGCAAAGGTGCTAGGCTGCAGAAGCAATTGTCTCCTGCACATCAGCTAGCTTTCAAATCAAGGCAGTATATTTTTATTTATTTTTTCTTTCACAGAATCACAGAATGCTTGAACTTTGAAGGCATCTCTGGAGATCACCTTTGAGGCCCTTACTTGGATTCTGCCCAGTATGTCCATTTCTTTCTTGTAGTGAGGAGCCCACAGCTGGACACAGTACTCCAAGAGTGGCCTCGACAGTGTTTTTTCCCCATTTAAAGAGTAATTTTTTCCATAATACATCTAACTTTAGCTCACAACTCACCTTTCTCCAGTCATTTCTCCCCTGAGAAATTATTGCTCAGTAACAGAGTGATGGCAATCATTCTAAACCTTTCTAGTGTCTATAAAACCCAACCCATGATCCCAGTCAGAGAATTTATGAGGGCTAAACTGCACCCTCACACAAGAAAAAGATACAAGACCCAGAGAAATTGTGTGAAGGTACGCTCAGAGCATACCTTTGCAGCTTTTCCCTAAAATGGACAGACAGTGGGGAAGATGCTGTGGTGAGGTGTGAAGTGTCTCGGTACTCAATTTAAAACAATTAAATTGCCCTTTCTGCCCTTCTGCATTCTTATTCTCAGCTAAACCACACCGCAGAAGCTGTCCTGTGCAACAAGCACTGTGTGCAGCTACCATGATACACCAAAATAAAAATAAAATTCTCCCTCCTGGCATTGAGGTGGGCTGTGATTTCCAAAGGCCACCTCAACAATGTGCGGCTTCACTGACACCGTGATGGAAAGAGCAAGAGCTCCGTGGGATGCTGGGGTACCAGCGGCATCTTATCTCAACATCCTCTCTATCAAAGTTCTGCTGTACCAAAGCAGCAACAAAACTACCAGATGCACAAACGTCATGCCCCACCTTGGTGAACATGCAAATATTGCATTAGAAATACTGTTTAGGTAACCCTTGACTTCTTTTTCATATGAAGGTACTTTTATGTTGTAACTTGACCAAGCCCCTAACTCTTTCCTGTATTTGGGCAAAGGACAACTTTCAGCACTCTGATCAATAAATAGGTATAGCAGTTTCCTCAGATACTCTTGTAGTAGGGGCAGTCTTAATGCTTACACTGAAATGAATCTGAATTTGGTGAGTACTCAGGTGTGTAGAGCACTGCTTGGGCTCTGCTGGTAATATAAGAAAAAAAATCTGTCAATATGAACTAATAAAATCTAGTTCATAACAGGTCTGAAAATGTATTACCCACTAGAGTCCATATTAAAGGAGTTGAGGCAGTTGAAAGCATGCTTACCGGAGTGTTTTCTGCCCCTGAGGCATATACCTTCATACCCAAAATTAATCAGCTAAAAATAACATGGCTGGAGGCCACAGCTTTTCTTGTTCATAGCAGAAAAACAGCCTGGAGGCTGCAGTTCTGAAATAGGTTTTGTTCTGGTGAGATGCATAACTCTCTACACCAGCTGGTTGATATCCACCTCACCCTGAAAGAAAAGCTGTCAGTATTGCTATATTTTTCAGTCACTAGAATGTAATCAATTTAAGGACAAGGAAACACAAGAGGCCCCAAACCTAGTCCAGTCTAATTTTACTCTAAAATGCATAGACGAGGACAGAGGGTAAAAAAGAGTTTTTTCAGTTTTTTTACTACGATTTCCATTTCAAACCAGGGTTGAATTAAATTCCTTTCAACTTGCTTTTTTCTCCCCTCAAAAGTAACTTAAAATTGTTTGTTTAAGGACTGGCAATCTCTCTTGGCCCACTCACCAACTGAAATTAAGTGGAAAGGCTCTTCAACAAGACTCAGCTGGCCTGCAAACCTGTCTGAGAATTTGTGAACTACATTTATGTTTCCTCCCTTTATCTGAAAAAATGTTAGTACATGCATACCCTTCCCTTAGCTGAAGGAATTTGATACTGCCACCTTCAAAATTTGTTCCTACACAACACTGTACACTGTAATAAGGAAATACATGCAAATCAGAGAAACAAAAAGTATGAAGAGAGCAGTAAGAAATGTGCATACCCAGACTCTGAATCTACTGATAAGAAGGAAAACTCTTCTGAGGTTTATCATATTGCTATTGCAAATCTACCAGAAGAATTTGAAACGAAAGGATCTATCCTGACCACTCATTCTGTTTTCAATATACCCTTACAAAAAAACCTATCAAAAAATCAAGTACTACATAAGAAAAAGCGATTTATGGAAGTTTAGAGTGAGGGGCTTATGCACTCCAGACAAACTCTTATTTGTAACAAAGAGAGTTATTTGCACAAACTCCAGAAACTGGGTTCCTTCAGGCCAAATACCATCTTAAGGAATCTCTGCTTTCCTCGTTGTGTGCTGATGCAGCCATTGACAGCCCTTATCAAATCAGCACCATTTAACAAATACCAGAATATATATTCTATACTTGCAGAGTTTAACTTTCCAAGAAGCCCTCTGTGGCCATTTCAACATGATTAATGTACGGATGTGATATCCTTAGATCACTGCAACCTCCTAGCTCCATGCAGAACTAATGCTTTTTTCTACTTTTTGAGTGACTGAGGAGCTTCTGCAAGGGATGGAGAAAGGCAAATTTAACTTCCATTGTATTGGGATAGAAATAAACCTGAGGATTGCACAACAGTCTGCAAAAGAAAAGGAGCACTCAGAAAGTTTCCTTATCTTAGCAGATTTTGCTCCATCCCAGAAACAACACTCTCTCCAGCTGCAGGTATTATTAAGCAGCTCCTTTCCAGTTACTGTTCTCAAGATAAACTTGCTGCAGTTTCTCAAATGTAGGAACAAATGAAGACTGTAAATGTGCTTGCAAGACTACCTGTAACGTTTCACAGGATTTGGCCTAATGTGTGAAGGTTTTATGGCAGTGATTTTGCTATTCTGAATACAAGAAAAATCTACTAGTTAACAGTCCTGCAAAAACATGTGGGTTGTGTAAAATTACACTTACTCTAATATCTAGAGACTGTCTAAGACAAGTGGTTCATATGTTAAGGGATTAAAAGACTGTTCTAAGTGCACTCAGAATTTATGATCTCATTCCCAGACCTATGGTCAGACTTGTCAATCATCTCCCGTAACTCAGTATTTCAATTAAAGAAGAGTTGAAAAGTAAGAAAAAGGAAAATTACAGAGGCATGTAGATGATGGAGATGACCTAACTCTGTTTTGTTCAACTGCTTGAGGACAGAGCAAAGCTAATTCACTGCTGACATTCATTGGCTGAAAAATACTTCATTGTCCAAACGAGAAAAGCATTCGCGCATTTAATTTTAAGCATATGCTTAACAATCACTGCCTTTTAAACCAAGGAAAAATATTAACTTGGAACTTAGTGCACTGCACATGCTGCTGTCTGACAGAGCAAGCTCAGTGACCAAAAGGCAACCAAGACAGTAAGGCTTTTGTAAAGTCCTTTAACTACGTAACTTCTAAAAAGGGGATGACTCGCATCACACATGCAAGTTGAACCCAGCTATTCTGCAAGTCACCATGAATCTGAATGAGTAAAGCCAGAAGTGCCAGCAGCTGGCTCACAGTACAGCCCAACTATTAAAATCAGCACTCTGGTCCTCATCAACATCTTGTATGTTGCACTGCACTGAGAACCTGGTTTTTCATAGAAATTGGAAGAACTGACCTTTCAATAGCAAATATTAACATGGGATTGCTAGGCGGCATTATACTTTCTAACTTTAGACCAACACTGCTTCAGTTTAAACTTCATTTCTACCACTGTTTTCAAACTAACAGAATTTTTTAATCTATTTATTAAAAGAGATAGCAACATTCAACTTTCATCTGCCTAGTATTACATGAAAATAATATATTTTTTGCAAATAAGGAAGTAGTTTCTAGTCAATATCAATCAACAGTTGAGAATTCAAACTAAAGAATGCAACAGCAATTTCTTTTTATTGGTGTGGCTTTTGTCCTGGTACCTATGTTTCACTTTAGTAATTCAGGTTTTTTTTTAAAAGGTCAAAAGTAAAGCAGTCCAGCTACACTAAAAACACACTGACGTCTTTAATAAACTGGCAATTTTAAAATGTCTGTGAAGTTATAGATGTGATGAATGTTGAAGTAAATCAAATAAATAGACACCTATAAATTGAAAATTCTGGAGTTTTTTTAAAGTGCAATTTAAAATTAATAATTAACATTTAGAGATGTGTTTGCATCTTCCCATAATGTTTAACTGCACATTTCTTTTATGCCCCCTGAAACATGAAAGCAGATAAGTCTATGTGGTCTTCTAAAAATAGACATGCAACAACATTGCCAAAGAGCTTAAAAAAATTCCCTGTCTCCCAAAATGACACATTAATCACATATTTGACACATTTCATTAATATCAATTTTTTCTGCTCATTTGAGGCAATTTTTCTGGCTGGAGTTTACATGAGTACTATTAAAAATAAAGTTATTGAATAAAATATGAATTATCACTTCTGTTCTATTCAAAGCAGTTTCCAGCTTCACCTATCCAGTCTTCCTTCTTACACATTCCTACAGATATGCCACAAAGTAAATTTTCACTGGCATTTCAGTCAGGCCACAAAAATTACTTGAATAATGTACAGCAACAGCATCTCAGTAGGTAAGCACTGTCTACCATTCCTGTTGCAATTGACTGTAGTTATAAAATATGAAGGAAAAAATCTGAGGACTTCATGCTAATTTGTTTCATATTATTTTGTTATAAATTCTGGCATTAAATACGAATATGTACGTGTGTGTATATATATATGTATATATATATGTATGTATATATAGATATAGTTAATTCTAAATATTTTTTATTTTGTTGTTTCACATTAATTGTAATACTCTGAATAGCTTAAAATAAATTCCTATCACTATCACTAAAGTGAATGATTATTACATTATTTCTTACATTAGTTCTTATAACCACTCTGAAAACACAGGTCTAATACTATGTATTATGTTATTAGAAACAATACATCCTTTTTTCTTTTCTTTTTAGGAAAGAAGAATTAAAAGTAAATTGTTTGAAACATCACTTATTCCTAGGGCTCTTGGTGAGGGAAGCAGAAGAGAGGATTGTCTAATACAACCCTTATTCACTACCATCTGCTGCTGCTTGAACCTGGTGAACACATAGATCATACATTTTCCTTTTGGCATCCCTTGCCAGTGCTTTTGAAGTTCACTAGGAATGCTAGGGCTTGTGAGAACAACAGATGGATAATAATCTTTACAGACAAGGAGGTATACTATTTAAACTTCATCACCCAGATTTGCCAAGAAACCTTAGCAATGCTGTAACACAGCCCTGCTGCTTTACTGTGACCTCTCCTTATGGAGGGCCATTCTGAACTCTGACAGTGACTTGCCTAAATTAGTATTTCCTCTTGGTTGTGTTCAAAACTATTTGTTTGATTTACTCCTCTGTGTTTTCATCCCCAAAATTCAATTTCTAATTATCCTCCAGCTGCACTTCTATTTCTTTTTATTTCTCTATTTATAGGTTGTATTAACAATGTATTGGCACCACTTCAATACCTAATATCAATGTAAGTGGCTGATCTGCATTATGAGGCTGAGTTAACAAAAAGTAAAAAACCCTTTGTTTGTAAATATGCTGACTCGAGTAACAGACTATTAATATGCATTCCTTTCTACAACCCATCAGTCATCACCAAATTTGGACACCAGACTTTCAGCTTAATTAATTTGCTGCTTGTTCAGGTAAAACTAGAAAAAAATTACTTCAGAGCACAAAGCACATTATGCTGTATTATACATGGTCTTTTCCATGAGGCCAATTTGAAACCACAGTTCTGGATATAAGGTTGCATATTGCTCATGTGAACAAGCCCAAAATTGCTTCAATCCACTACATAAATAATGGCAGTGCTGAAAAAGTCAGAGAACTCACCACTTGTCCATCTCTCCCTGGAACACCAGGCACTCCGACAGAACCCTGGAGGGAAACAGATGCCACTGTTTAGCAAATTAAACAGGTCGTGAAACCTTTCATCTCGTAATACAGTATTTAGAAATAATGGTGAATGTTTGCTTATTGGAACTGCAATAAATTTTTCAAGAACTCATTTTTACCCAAGCTGAGCTCTCCTTTCAGTTGAGATTTTATACTAATTAGACATATTCTCACGTTGTATGTTTTAAAGACTGTATGGCCTTTTCCAGAAACAAGCTTCAAGCTCATGTTTTGTAATGTTGTTGAGGCTTCACAAGAAATGTAAGAATTGAAATGCTTTTCCATTTAATGCTCTCAATAAGTTTCGAGACTGATCCTATGCAATCAAATATAGCACCTGAACAAAACGATTAATGTTTCTAGAGGGATCATTCAAGCTCAGTAACTTGTAGCACCAATCAATCTCAAGGCTTTTAAGAGATAATACGCAGTGATTCAGTCTGGCAGTACAAATTACAGATGCACTTTGAAACTGCACCAATATTACTGCAATCAGAGTTAGAAGGTCAATACAGGCCAAACACAAGTGACAAAGAAGGAAAAAAAATTATAACCTTGGAGGGATCTTTTTTACAAGTTTCTATGTGATGGATAACTTTTTTGAAGGACCTTGTGCAACTTGCTATGGAATGAAAACACAGAGCATGGAAATCAGGAAAGCTGCATCTGCTTGTACAGCATTCTCCTCTTATTTATAAAGATGGTGCTGTACAGCAAGGGAACTCAAAGAATTGCTGCATGGCAATTCCCCCTCTATTTTGCTTAGAGGTGTCACTAAAATTATCACCAACACCCAAAGGAAATGCATTCAAAATGGTTGCAGACATTTGTCAATTAATAGAGTTGGAAAATCCTGTGAAACAGGAAAAGGAACCAACTCATGAGGGTCTCAAGAACCCTCCAAGAGCTAGTAACAGAGCTTTGAATCAGTAAGAAATAATACACTGCATCCCAGCATATCTCCTTGACTCACAATGCTCTCCCCTTTCTCCCAAAGCTTCCACTTTGGCATCCTTGCTGTCTCTTTTTGCTGGATACATAGTCATGGCGTTAAGCTACTGCAAAGGTGCCTGAGTGAACGTTTTCACATCTCTGTACCATTTTTCCAGAAAATCAGAAGACAAAGCTCAGGAGAGCATTAAACAATCAGCCTCAATAAACCATCCTATGTATAACAGTTCCTCCTCTCAGTGGCAGCTGAGTATTTTTCTTACGAAACACAGGATGTTAGGAAGTGTGAAATGAGGCGGATTCTACCGTGGTAAGTAAATGTTTATCAGATATTCAGAAGTTCATCAGCATGCGGGTTTTGCTGATGTCATACAGGCAAAATATGCTCCTCCACAATTCTGAGGGTATAGCTTTGTAATGGCAACTTAGACATGAGCCACATTCCTGCATTGCCAAAAACAAAGGGTAGTCCTCTCCTTCAGCCTGCAAACTCTATACAGCCCACAGCTGCCAAAATTCCACCAATTTGTGTACTTTGGTATTATGTTTTTACGTATCACAGGCTTTTCTTCCTTTTGTTAAAAAAGTTATGTTTTAACAGATGCTTCACTCCAAAGAACATAATCTCAGAAGAAGGAAAGCAGGCATCCTTCTCACATATGTCAATACTACTTATTCCATCCTCTTTTTTTTTTCCCCCTTATACAAATTATAGCCGCTTTATTAAATATCTTTCATACAACTTCTCAATCTTTTGAAATCAGCTAGAAAATTACTCACCTTGGTGCTATGCGAGTCAGACGCCGGAAAAGTACCACTCACTAGCTGTTACTGCTGATATTCTAAGGACTGTTTTAATGGTGTAATTCCATAAATCCTAAACTCACTCAATCAAACCGAGGCAGTCAGCTTTAATGAGTGTAAATAATGCTGAAGGCATTCCCAGGAAGTCGGGTCTCAGGTTACCGAAGGAACAGGAAGACACCGGCAGACCACCTGAACACCACCGACCAAGCACTATTTATCAGCAACACCTACGTCCTTTGTTTCTGCTGGTCAATTCTTTAGTCATATGGCACTGATCTACTTGAGTAGAGACATGCATTTAATCAGAAACTTTATCTCCCCACCTTTCACAACGTTTTAACTTTGGTTTCCTAATCGTACCAGTGTATGAATGGGAAAATTATAGTGACCTTTTCACCTGAAAGTTAAGCAGACAGATTGGAAACAGTCTGCTCTGCACTGCTTGAACTTCTTATGATGAGGGAAATGGGAAATCTTGTGTCTCACATTATATGGCTCCATTTTGCAAAAACAAAATTCAGAACCTAAGCTAATTGATTCAATGCAGTGTACAGTAGCTTATTCCATTCACCTTTTCTGCTTGCAATTTGGCACGGGAGGAATAATCACTTTCACAGCATTGTTGTTTATACTATACCTTTTGTCCTGGAGGCCCCTGAGGTCCCTGCAAAGGGAAAACAATTCAATTAACATCAAAACTCCAGCCAATTTAAACTGAAATGACTAATTAAGACTGTCTTACTGTGTAAGCACTCTGATACTGGACTGAAACCAGCTGATGTTTTATAAATCAAAGAAAAGTAAGAGTTTATGCTCAAAACGTACAATGAATCTTTCCTCTTCACTTTTGGACTGATCTAACTACTACCCAGAATACTCAAATTTTCCCCCTTCTAATATTTTCTCTTCCAAGCCATCTGTTTCTTCTAATACTGACAAATCTCCCAGCATTAAGATGACTGTGGTTTTTCTCTCTTATATCAGCCAACAGCCAGTTGTGTGTCCACAGTAATATATCAGCTTGTCAGCATAAAAACAAGGTTTATGCAAACAAGCATTTTTGTGATAGAGAGAAGCATAAACCTCAAAATCTTCTCACCTTCTAAGTATCAGCACACATGACTGTGTTATACCAAACTTGTCATGTGTGCCATCATTTGCAAGTCAAGAGAAAAATCTTTAAATTCAGAAATTGTTAAGAATGCTCTTGGGAAGCAAAGAACCACCGTTTTGTCCCAATGACCTGAGACGGCAGGAAGAGATAGCTCAGGAAAGCTTAACTTTCCTTAATGTCATACAGGAGTCAAAGTCATGTTGATATTAAGAGGACTCATTTCTCATCTGGTGTCTCTGAAGTACCCAGGTGGCCACAATGGAGAGGGGAAACAGAGAGAGAGAAAGAAGATCAACCAGCCACATCTAGGACACCAGTCTGTTTTGGTAACACCCAGACCATGTCCACCACAGCTCCATGCATGTTTGTCCCCAGGTTCCTGCTATGGGCACTGGTGTAAATTGTGGGTGCTGGTGGTGTAGCAAGCAAAGTGAATTCATAGTCCATGAGGGTGCAAAACCCAACACAAAAACTGGGAAATTCAAATCCTTCTAATGTGAGAAAGAATAAAAGAAGAACTGATTGATACCACACCTGCAATTATTCAGGAAAACAAAAGGATTTCTGCCTCAAAATGTGACACTGATTTTATTCTTAAATTAGTGTGAAGAATCCTCCACGGTCAGCAGATGGAACATTGCTTGCTGGAACACTGCTTGCTGGAACATTGCTCTGATGCAACTTTAAACTACTAACAAGGAAAAGCTCCACTGGTGGTAATTCTGAGTGCTGCATCCACTGATGTGGATGAAAGCCTTGCAGTTTCAAATGCGGATTGGTATGTCTAAGGTTTGGTATTAAACCTTGCAAAAGCATAGATCAATGCTGCTTCTTGAAAGTTTTGCCTGATTGTTTTAACAGAAGAAAAGTATTGTGAGCATCTCCTTTAGACTGCAGGGACAGATTCTGATAAAGGAAACCCACCTTTACTCCTTTCCCTTCAAAACAAAGCAGAAGTACCTAAGCACTCAGCACTGGTGATGATCAGAGCAATGAATATAGTGAGCATCTGCTTTTTCAGATGGAGAAAAATGTCCCCATCTCACAGTGTTTCACAAAACTATTGTTTAAATCAAGCCTGCTTTTGAAGTAAGTGCCTGAGATTGAGTGATCTGCTGAGTAAGAAACCACAAATAGAACAAGTCCACAAACAGTGTTCTTCCCTTTCTTTGAGTACCTGACACTTCTCTTCTTCTCTAAGAAAGACACAAGTTTGTCTAGCATTTTAAAAACACCAAGAAATTAATGTTCAAACGAATGCTTTCCCTACAGCAATGGTATCAAAACAGGCTCCAAATGTCTACAACCTGGGCATCAGGTGTCTGTTGACTTGTTGCAAAGTAACCTGCTGCATTTCAGGGTTATTTCAGGTCTTGGGAAAAATCCCTCCATCAGTAGGCCACAGTGAATACAGAACAACTGAAGACTTCCATCATAGCTCATACCAGCTATTTTTATGGCCAATGGATGGATAGATCAGTTTATAGCTACTTAAGAAGCTATTAAAACCTTCTAAAGACCCTCAGCTATATTAAATTACCATTTGGGAGCCCTCAATACAATACTACTGTATGAAGGAAAAATGATAATTCACTTACTAATATTAGCCCCCAAAGCAACCTGTTAAATGTACTCTCTGTTGAGGACTTTCTGTCTGGTGCTTGCAGCTGTCAGCCTGTGGGATGGATATAATGCAAGACAGTGCAGAAAACATTTTTTCCCCAGAATTTCCTCTTCATCCCTGACATCATTCCAGCTTCTCAAGATGAGTTACTTAATATGAAAATATTTACACAGTGGCATAGTCTCGCTCTTTTGGTGACTTTAAAATGAACCATTCAGAGAAAAGATGCAGTAGATACTTATCAAAAAATATATTATGCAATTAGAAGTTTTCCATTTCTGGTACTTCAGCCTTTACTCAGACTGGAAGTAGCCCTGGTGTTTCACCAGCCACTGATCCACTTGATGACTTGAACAGTCCTCAATAGTACAGCTACCTTCAGAAACTGCAGAGTATTGACTCAAAAAACCGACTTCCGCAATTAGAATTTTTCCATTTATGGTACTTCAGCCTTTACTGAGACTGGAAGTAGCCCTGGTGTTTCACAGCCACTGATACACTTGATGACTTGAACAGTCCTCAATAGTACAGCTACCTTCAGAAACTGCAGAGTATTGACTCAAAAAACCGACTTCAAATAAAAGCTTACCTAAAGTGACACATTTCACAATTGACATAGGACAAGTCCTTTTTATCCTTAGAATGTTCTGACTGTAAAACATACCCGAAGAGAAACAATTTTTTTTAAAGCACTGCTCCCTAGCACTGGGATAGAAGCTCCAAGTCATTGGAAACTTAACAGCTCATTCACTGACAGCTCTCGTCCCTCCGCCACATAAGCCAGCAGCCATTTAACAGAAAACACAGAATTAGGTTACTAACAGAAAACTTCTTCAAAAAAAAAACAAAACAAAAAACCTGTACAACACCGCAGAATGGTACTTATTTTTCTAGAATTACCTAAAATCTCTGATCAAGGTACAAAATGGCATTGGAGAGATAGAAACAAACAAGTAAATAAAATATGATAAAACGAAAAAAATAGAAAAGAATAACATGTAAAAAATTTAAAACAAAAAACCAAACCAAAACAGAAAACCAACCAACCAAAAAAAAAAAAAAACCAAAAAATACCAAAAAACCAGAAACCAAAAAAACCCAAACCAAAATGGTTCTTTGGCTTATTTCCAGATGAATAAGTGACAGCTTTTAGAAGAATCTATGTAGAAAATTCCATATGAACATGCGTATTTTTCCCCCGTATTATTCTACTGAACTGGGGAGCATCCTGTGGTACCCACTTGATGAACAGACAGTAAGACCAGAAATCAGAATCTCTGTGTAGGTCTGGAGACAGAAGCAGAAGGCAAGACATATGTGACCATTTCCAATCAATTCCCCAGGATGCTTTGTTTTGATGTTTTTCTCTGTTTTTCTTCAGCTGCTCTGTGCTCCGTAACAGCTGCAGCAATATCCTAGCCCCGCTGTTTGCTCCAGCACATCCAAAGGGATGCTTCGCAAATGCAGGCTCAGCTGAGCTTCCCACTGGACAGATATTTTGCCCCTGGGTCCTGGCAGGCAGCGCAGAGCTGCTGCCACAGGTCCCCACCTCATTCCCCTCAAGCCCAAAGCCTCGGCTCCATCTACACCACACGGAACACACTGCCCCTCTGCCACCAACACATCTGGTGTATGAAGGAGGCAAAACCGAAACACACAGCTCTTTAAAACCATTGGCTGATCAAGAAAACAAAACAATCCCAGAAGTACAGAATTCTTTCACCTCCTAACCACATACACGTATATATGATATCGGTCATTGCTCAATGACAGATTATGTTGATAGCAAATACTCGACTTTTGCCTGCATCATTGAAAGCTGCCAGGGTTTCCACAAAGGGATGCTTAGAATCAACTGCTAAACCACTGGCAATGGATGTCATAAAGCTCTTTTTATAAAGAGCATTTAGACTTCAAGAATTCCAAAGAAAGTTTGTGAAAACCATTCAGATAAAGTGACTGCTCAGCATCTTCCAGGATTATGCCACTTTTCCTCAAATTGACACATATTCACAGAGGAACTTAATTGAGAAGGCTGAAAATTTTGGTTGCACGAAGTCTTGAATAGCCTAGAATAGGAAGATAACTAAATATAATTAAAATAAAATATAGTTCTTGTTCTTTCAGCCATCATGAGCATTTCAGAAGAGCCCTTTGCCATCATGCCCAATTGAGTAAACTAGCTAGGCAGCTGCGACAACTTATTGCAGGGCTTCACTGAATTAGGTTTTCATTCAAATAACTCCACAGTAGGAGGATGAAAAATGAGGTGTGTTGCTCCAAAGAAATTCAACTGCCCTCTGGAGAAGGAGAATTATTGATAATATCTAAACACTTGGAAAACTGGGTAACTAAGGATAAATACAAATGTGTACAAAAGTCTTCTATGCAACTGTGTTTTTTAAAAGGTAAAATATTTCTATTGTGACCTGCCATTCTTCAATCACTGTTTTGGGAAATCAACCAAACCTCCGGAGATTGTAGCATGTCAAGTCTTTGCATTACAGAAATGATTGAATGAAGTTGGACATTTCAGCTGGTCCTTAACAAGTAACTATTCAGAATAAATTAAAACAAACAACAAAAAAAACCCTCACAAAACAATATGCACCAAACGCTAACAAAAAACCCTACAAACAAGCAAACAAACCCCAACCCACCCTTACCTTCCCAAACTCAAACCAAACTGAAAAGATTTACCTAGGTATAGTAAAATAAAGTTTGGGGTCCAGCATTCTTACTACGCCTCCTTTCTAATGTTACAATTATATTTTTTTTTATGCTTCATATGTTCCCTTTGTTTTAGCAAGCTGGAAAATAAGAAAATTCTGTCCTGTAAAGGTTAAAGCTGCAATTTCAAAGAGAGAGAGAGTAATTCAGGGTGTGATACATTAGCAACCTTTTGTATTCAGTTTCTAGGGACTCC